AGTAATTTTCTTAGACAAGTCATGGTTTCAGAGAAATGTAACACAAAGTGTGATTAATTATAAAGTCTAAGATTCTGTGTGTATGTGTTCAGTGACTGGAAAGCCATTACTCGTAATCGCCAATATTGTCATTTTATTAGATACAAATAAGGTTACAGATTGTCAGAAAATGTCATAGGACCAATGCGGAGTTTTTATTTAAATTGAAAACTCGTTGTCTAGGTCCACTGAGAATGATAAACACAGCGGAAATTGCTTCTGAATGGGGTTCAGCTCGCACAGAGCTGTGTAGTTTAAGTCTTTTGCGAAAATTAATCAAACGCCTACAGCTGTTTCCAGGCTACAGTTCACACTTTATTCGCATCCAAAGCACGATTAGAAACGACCAATAAATCGTTCGAAAAGTGACACAGGTCAAGCGCTTAGTCCGAGCTAATTGACTCAACCGGTAACTTTTCCAGAGCTCCTGGCTTCAGTCTTGAACACGACGCAAAATTTCATGGCTAAAAATGACCGTCTGAGTTGCTGAGTCGCGTAGTCTGGCAGAAGTTTACCGACGTTTCAGAGGTGTCTGCCGCCTCCATCATCAGGGCTATCACCGTCGGTAAATTTCTATCAGACGGCGTAACAACCGTGAGAACCTTAAATCTCACTAATATCATGACAGAAATTTTTCGTGATTTACCTCAGTTCGTCCAGACAAATTTCGAGATATTAATTTAATTTCCTGTACTCTTACATGTTACTTTGCGTGGATGTCCCAACTTATTCTTTGACGGAAGCCTGTCTGAAACGTAATAAATAAATTCCTGTCCTCTCCCTAGATATTTCCGTTACAAGCAGGTTTCACTGCATTCTTGTAATTCCGCGGCCAATTACAATTACAGCGCCGCGTAACGCCCGTTCGAACCCAACTGAGGGCAAGGATTTGGAGAAGCCCTTCCTCCGTAATCCTAGCATCAATGTAGCGGCTGACACCACGACTCTAGGCTCATATATCGTCTTTACCTCAAGACTGCTTACAAATACACAAGACGGGATACGAACATCGATAACTTCACTGCCGTCACAACCTCGAATTTTTTACAAGATATTATTTATTTATATACATGTCAACGTTACGAATCTTAGACGTTGTAAGAATTTGTACCGGTGGATATTATACACAAATACGGATCACTGATTTGCCTAAGCTGTTAGCCTCGCCACAAAGGTTGAAACACATGAAAAAAATAAGGAGGCCCCACAAATTTCTACAAGAACTCTTCATTTGACAGGCCAGTTACTTAGATACGTTTTTCCTCAACTCGTGAAGCGACTCTAAGTAAAGGAAGATCAGGTACCCGATTTATCACACAAATCCCATTGTCACCGAACATGTCTCTCTCTCTCTTTCCAGAATTAATCGTTGTACTTATGGTCTTCTAGTTACCGTGAAGGACTGGAATAATCTCTGCTGATGATCATTTTATTCAGCAATCTATCTAACACGTTTAACAGTTTTGACGCTGATAACTTGCATTCTGAATGTTTCAATGCAAACATTTAAAAGGCCTCACCAATCGATTTACTTCTCACTGTACAGTTCTGAGGCTAGTAAAATTAAGAAGTTAATAGTCTTTAAATATAAATGCTTTCTGAAAACTTGCGTCGCGTATTCTGGTAGACATAAACGGACGTTTCAGAGGTGTTTACTGTCGCCATCATCAGAGGGGTTCGGCATAATTATGGAGGCAACGTCGTAATATTTCTTTCCTATTAAATTAATACTTTCAGAAAACTGTTAAAGAAGTGCAATCAAATTCAAGAAGAAAATAGATAGATGTGGAATAATTTTCGTATAGCAAAGTAACATTAACGTAAATAAATTATTCCACAAGTACATTAATATTACACGCTAAATTATTAAATTAGAGTACACTTAAAAGAGAATTAAAACTGTTTTAAGTAAATTTCTTATGAAAAACAAATCGTGGCTTCAAAATGTCCTCTCTCCCTTAATTCTTTATGACTGGCCTACATACTGCAATAGAAATATGACGTTCACTTGTAATTAGGTATCTTTAAGAAACCTTAATGCAACTGTAATTATACAAACCGTACAATTTATAACATCATAAAACTTAAAAGCACAATTTGAAACACAAAAAACTCATTTTCCCAATAACCACACAAACTAAAACTTCTGAAATCTCCCATTATGTAAGGTAGCGGAATTTTAACAATTTTTATTTCAATATCTGGCTAAACAGTAGGTCGTGAAATTTTAAAATTCTTAAATTTCCAAAAAGGTTACCTTACAAATGTCTGGATATAAATATCACGAATCCTGACACCTTTTAATATTCATGGTACTCATGCTTGACTGAAAACTAGCGTATTATTATTACAAAACCCTAGTTTATTGCAATTAAACTAATTTATAACGTTTCAGAAAGGCATACTTACAGCCCGAAATCGGAAAACAAAGCATGAGCTTGTGTGTAAGGATTTTGGGTGGTAATTCCGCTAGTATCTTAGGCTCGTGAGCCCTCTAATTTGATGAAAGGGCTGTCGACCCACCTGCTGTATTGAGCGACAATACGTTCCAGGAGATGTATGGCCTAGCAGCACTGACGGACTCAACTCACAGACAATTCGCGTCGGCAGAGAACGTGTCCCGCGAGCAACACCCGCGCTCTGAGCGCCAAATTCTCGGAGTGGACGCCGGGCGTCGCTTGTGCCACCGCCGTGAAAGCCGTCTGAGCCCAAGACTGAGAATCAATACTCGGGGCTTGCAACGCGGCGCGTTAATTGATCCCCTGCGCGATACCACCCGCCCGCAACACATTGCATATCGATATGTTATTCGGGATGTTCCTTAATTGGGGGCTCATTACACTTGCGAAATTCACCCTTATAAATGTCATACGGTGTGTTCAGTAATCGGGTACCTTCTCATGATCTAAAAGTTTCACGGCAAACCTAATTAATTAAATCCCCCAGGCACACCAGCCGTGTCAAATAGTTAAAACTCCCGTAGTTTCAGGGGCAGTCTACGTCCCCATCATCAGGGTGTCTGATGTCACAGAAAGGATTTTATTGACGTATTCAATTTTCTATACTGACCTCCATAATATCATACAATAATTTCCTTAATTAAGCACACATAACGTGTGCAAAGCTCGTAACTATAAATGTCATACAGTGTGTTCAGTAATTGAGTATGAGTGAAATTTGCTAAGTATTATTCAGTGTGTTCCTTGATTTTATCCTTATTAAAACGGCAAAATTCGTCTTTTTAAGCCAGAGACCCAAGGTCAAATATAAGGTGACATTGTTGATGACGTCATTTTTTGAAGACGACGAAAATCACAAATTTTTATAGTAGATTTTACTCTTCAGGCCTTCAGATAACATGTTCTGCACGCTCCAGCGTGAGCGCAGAATATCTTGCGGACCCGTCCATGTCTTTCTGTATGTTTGTCCGTCGCGTTTGTCCTACAATTTACATAACCCCAAGACCAGAGGTCATTGTTGGATCACCCTGTATTAACGATAACCTTGGATACTACTACTGCCCTCGTTATGAACTTTGCTGCCCTGCTGACATCGCCCTCGTGGCGTGAAGTAACACCTTTGTAATGTCAATGCACTCCAAAGAGTACACCTTTTTCCAATCTTGTTGTGTATTACAGATTAAATTCACAATAGCTCAGTTACGAGAGTGACTGAGTGAGAACTGAAGTGCTGGAATTCGATTCCAGATCAGGGAAAGATTTTCATATCAGTTCTGGGACATATCCAGCCTCGTTTCAGTGTGTTATTACCGCGGGAAAACCCAGATGGGACGTAGCTGACCATTAACACCCACAAAGTACCGAGGTTAAAAATGCGTTAAGGTTTACCTCCACTCCCCTTATACACCACCAAAGCATGGTGCCTGGGAATACATCCCACTTCATCTTTGCGTTTTCGTGCACCCATACAAAGTGACTCCGTTATGAGTATTAAAAGGTGCAGGGAAAATTTGCTATAAATAGCAAATGTGTAGGCTGAAACTTAATACCTGTTTACGAAGTTGTTCAACAGAATATACGTCTACGTCACAAACAAGGAGTCTGATAAAATACGGCAACATTCGAGAATACAAACCGATATAAAAATAGGGCAATTTATTTTCGTTTCAGTGAGATACGTCGCGGTATCGAAACTAGGTCAGATGTCAGCTGTCGTCTAGAAGTAGTACGTCACTACAGTTTGAACTGAGGACTTTTGTGAGCACGGTAATGAAGCTTCTGGTTCCATATAAGGCAGAGAATGTCTTGACTACCTGAGCGACTACTAGCTTCCACCAACCAAAGCGTGTCTGCGCGCTGTACTCATAAACGGGCGTCCTTGTCCGTACGTTTGATCTCCTAAACTACTGAACGGATTGTTACAAAATTTGATACGAGTGGTCTATCGAAAATTAAGCGAGAAATTTCGTTCTGATTCCTGTTCTTCCTACAAACGCGTACCTTAAACGAAACCAAAACACAAAGTGATTTTGTCGAAAAAAATTTCACATAACATAAAACATGCATCTCATTAAAATCTATAATATTTATTCGAAAAAAATACCGATATGGCGTACAATCAAATAAATGTGACGTAAGAATACGCATCTCTCAATAAATGTCCAAGTACATCAACGTTTAGATCTTACTGATTTGCCCAGACGTGGTAGCCTTGGCCTGAAATGTGTAATAAATAGCATAAATTGTCCTACGAACGAGCATATAAGGGGCTTCATAAAATGTTTTCTTCACAAAAAAATCTGGATGTTAAAATTAAGAAAGACACGGACAGGTCATTTAGCAGGCACCGAAGGTATAAATTCGTGAAAAATCTTGGTTGGATATTTTGAAAGGAAAAGATCACTTGGAAGATATAAGTGTAGATAGGAGTATAATATTAAAATGGATATTATGGAAATATGGTGGGAGGGCATGGACTATGTAGCCTAAAAAGTCAATAAATTCTTCTCGATTAGTTTATTGACATTTTACTGAATCTTGAAGGTGTAAAAACTTAGTAAATGACAATTTTAATTATTTTAATGTTATTTTGCTTCTTTGCCAACATATGCAACAGTACTGGAATACACACACGAAACAAGTTATAAAATGAAACAATAAAATTATTGTACCACAATTAGGACTTTAAACCTGCAATCTGAAAATGATGCAAAAGGACATCAGAATCCTTCCACAAAGAACTTCGTATAAGCCAACATTCCTGAAAATAAATAATGGCGATAAATATAATGGTATTTATGTAAATATTGGTCATAACGGTCCTACCATTTGGTACAAGTCACAGGAAAACAGCATAAAAATGCAGTAACTGATAAGAAAAACTGCTTCAAATGTTTCATTCGTGTAAACCCCATGGAAAAAACAAACCAAGTAAAAAGACCCATGAGACCAAGAAATAAATGGGAGGGTAGACTTAACTTCTCACCAACAATCCTGAGTACACCCTTCGTCAGGCACCAGTATCACCCATGCTAATTCCTTATAATCAGAGCCTTATGACGTTTGGTCTGAGAGATGCAAAAATCGAAAGGCAAAGGAAAAAATTATGACACCAAAAGGATTAAAATGAACCATCGAGAATCCGGATGTAAATACACGAACTGAGCGGAGGCTTACATGTGACAGAGTAAAAAGGAAGAATTTATTAAATGAGTAATTATCGACTAACTGAAAGTATTGTGTCATATCATTGGTTACGTATCGGACCAATTACAGAATGTACTGTTTTAATTTACAATGAGGTTTCAAATCAATGAAGATTTGATTGCATTAAATTTCGATCAAAACTTAATTTTTTATATACAGCAACATGTAACTGCCATCTGCCCACATTTCTGATTCTGTTCGACTTCTAATTATTATTACTGTCATGCTTTAACATATGCGCAACTTATATCCATTATTCTTAAACTTTATTTTGAAGTTAATGCGAATACTTCAAAATTTTACACTGGACTGACAAAG